TTTCCGCAACTTCATGAAAACTCTTGAGTTGTCACTGAAGCGAATGTTTGGTGGTAGCATCACACACTCAGGCGACACAATGAGCGCAAACAAGAAGGCTGTTGAAACGTCGGCAAGCACAATGTCCGAATCAGTCGCAGAGACGAAAACAAGGAAGGACCGGAACGCTTCATTGGACGAAGTAGGACTTGAGATCCCCAGCTCGGCCGCCGTAGGGCTGCCGCTGGCGTAATCACGTGCGACCACTCTGGCACGCACGATGTCCTCCTTTGTTTCTCCGTCCTTCTTCTCCACCACAACCCACCGAGTGGAGAGGATCCGAATCCCATGATCTCGACAGTACTCATCCGCCTCGCGCTTGGTCACAACGTCTCCAACTCGAAGTGAATCGAGTGCTCGAATCTCCTTAGTCATTCCCTCGCGGGTCTTCGTGGGATCGAGCGGTTTATCAGTGGCATCGTCCCTCACGAAACTGGGTTTCTGGAGGTAGATGATGCGGTCACGCATCTTCAGTTCTGTCCAACCATCATCTTCAATGCTCGAAAACATGCTCGCCCGACACTCGACTCCAACAGCAAAGTTCTCCGCAAACTCAAGTGGAACAGCATCAAGTGCATCATAAGAGGCAACCGACCAACATGCATCAACATCCATCGGGATTTCACCGACGCCTCGGCCTTCATCCTCTTCTGCTTCTCCCTGTTCCTCCAAAGGCTCGGCCTCAGAAGGTACAGCAGGAGGTGACCCAGAGGGGAGATAATCATCAACCGATGGCATCCAAGGATCCCGAACCTCAACATCATCATAGTCATCTGGAAGTTCCACCTCAACTCTCGGGTCCTCATCATCCATCCCAATGGGCTCTGGCACTACGTCTGAAGGTTCCTCGCCTCCCTGTCGTCCGGCGGCTGCCGGCTGATTCTCACGCTGTTCCTCAAGCCACGCACGATAACGCTTCCGACAGGTCACTGAATGTTTCACTCCATGGAACATGCCACGCTCACAAGCCAAGCAACGACGGGTTCGACCATGCTCAAGCAACCAATCCTTTGGAGGGTTCCCATCTTCAGTCAAGCTCAACGGCAACACGGTCAACTCATCATCGACACGCTCAATGTCAGGCAAGCGCGGCGGTCGATGCACAATGCTCCCAGACCTCTTCCCAAGCAACCCAAGCAACTCAAGGTCGTATCTCACTGGCAACAACATCTTCACAGCAGGTGATGGCAGGATCTCAACCTCTCCCGGCCTCAGCTGGATAGAAGCCCAATGTGAAGCCTTCCCCAGAACAGGTCCCAGGTAGGCTCCATACGCAAATCGACCTGTGATTGCTGCTGCTTTGCTTGGTGGTGGCGCAACAAGAACAGTCCCACCGAAAACGTAGGTTTGGTGTGCTTTGTGCTGGTTCCCTCTCAGTCTCTGCAAAGGCGACAACATGGATCCAGACATGGTGTTGTATCCTTTATGCCGTTATGCACTGCGCAAGCATGGGCAAACAACAACAAGCTAAAGGCTTTCCGATTGTTCCTCAACCCAACAAAGTTGTCCTGCATCTGCAACAAAATCCCACTGGCAACTTCTCTCAAAGCTCGAACCCCGCGTTCCGCCACAGGGGCGTGACGGCCTGCTGCGAACTGCTCGATGGTACCTTGGAATGTTGGCTGATCCTGCAGGAGCTGCTGCCACAACGCACGCATGTAACCCTCAGCGTCACAGGTGAAGAGGCAGTCTTTGTTGGACAAACCGAAATGCAAAAGCCACTGGGAAATGTCTGCAACAATCGCTTCCTTCGGCCTATCACCATTCACGCAACCTATGGCAAAAGACCTAGAATGCACAATGATCAAGAACTTCAGCGACCCATGCCAGAACTGATCAAGCTGTACCTCGTTCTGGTGCACATCGGTCCTTTGGCGGGCTTTCTTCAAACCCCTAGCTCTCACGCACACTTCGCAGGAACTGCTATATATATGGAACATGCGACCGCAACTCATGCTCAAACAAGCTGAACTTAGGCAGCACATCTCTGTCACTTGCAATCCAGCACGCATCAGAAGGCTCGGCGCTATTTTCTTTTCCATCATAAAACTCCGGGCTGGCACCTACAGGAGCTCCAGGCCGGGCTCCGTGATCCTCTCGGCCGGGTCCTCCGCCTCACCGGTGTCCTCGACCTTCTCGGAACTGCTGGCGGCTCCGGCAGACGTCTCCCCGGCCTCGTCTCCAAAACGATCGCCGGAGGAGGCCTCGGAAGATTGAGGCCATGGAGGCCCCACCCCAGAGCCGCTGCCCTTGCCACCGGCTGCACTTCTGCCCTTGTCTCCTGTGGTGTCAGAGAAGTGGCCGGATATGGTAACACCGGAAGTTCAGGCCTTTTCTTCGGCCTCGGAACCTTCGGGAGCTCCTCGACCGTCGCGGTAAGGCTCACAGCTGGTCTGGGCTCGTGCTCTTGCCCTTGTCTTTTCCTTTCTCCTTTCCTTTTCCCTTCTTCTTGCCGCCGCACAATATGGACACACTGGTGTCGCCCACTGGACCTGGACATTTTGCTTCTGGGCTCTGGTCCTGCTGGTTGAGGCCAAGTGGGTCTGTTGGTCTGGGCCATGGAGTTTCTGGTACTCCTGGTGCCGCTTGGCTCTGAGGTGCTGGTACAGCTTGGAATGGCTTGAGGTGGCTTCTGGCATGTGGGCCAACGAGCAGATGGAGGATTGTTCGCTTGCTGGGCCGCAGCTGAACACTGGACATTGTCGTGGGTGGTAAGCATGTCCTCTGGGAGGTTGACGGTGCTGCCAGCTGGCTTGTTCGTCAGCTGGACGCCAGTCTTCATGGATATGTCACACATGGCGACTGGTGCAGCTAGAGGTGCAGCTACTGGAAGTTCCAAGCTATGGTTGGCATGCGGCAATACTTGGAAAAGTATGCACGCTTGCTAGCGGATGTTCAAGTGCATGAATGCATGTGCAAGAAAGCTCAATATTTTTTCTGCTCAGAGCAACTGTCATGGTCGCGCTTTTGGTTCTGCCTCGCTGACAGCTACTACTTTCGTGGCTTCTTGGCTGGCTTTGTCGTCTTCTCCGTGGCCTTGGCCTCCTTCTTCGCGGTCTTGGCCTCCTTCTTGTCCTTCTTGGTCTCCTTGGCCGCATTGGCCTTGTTAGACGTGTCCTCTTCTGGAGCACCAGCAGCTGGTTCCCAGCCTGGAGCTGCGCGCTTGTTGCGATAGCACGGGATGGTGTGCTTCCACGTTGATGGTGGCGGCCTCCATGTTCACGAAGGCTGACTCCGTGGTCTGGCCGACATGGAAGAAAGGCACAGCCAAGCCCTGCACTTTCTCGAGGTCTAGCTTGGGGCAGCTTGGGTGCCGACACTTGGAACTGGGTGGCGTTCGGGCCTGACACGACACAGCTGGTCCTGCTGACAGTCTGCTTGGCCGGATCCTTTGGGGTGGACATGGTGCCGTATGGCACCAGCGTCAACTTCTGCTGCTGGCTGTTGGCAAACAGGCCAGCGCCCTTGGTTGCCCAAACCAAGCTCGATGCATCTGGCATGTGCCTTGCACAAAGGTCACAAAGGGGAATTCACAAGACACATGTCGCAAAAAACTTAACATAATATATATATATATATATATAAACGTTACATGCACCATTTAGATGACTGTGCAAAAACCATGCATGTGGTTTCCAGCTGGAGCACTTGCTATAGGTCTGGAAGAGCAGGAGGCTGGCCTTGGCTTTGGCCTGCTCCATCTCCACGGTCTGGCTGTTCTGTGGCAGCAATGGCTCCATGTCGTCTGTGGCGACCAGCTGGAGTGGATCGCCTGGGGCCAGCTTGAAGTTCTTCAACTCCTCGTGTGGCACTGTGAGAACCTCTGGCTCCTCGCCGGAACTGAACAAAGGCTGGTGGTGGAAGTGGGCCTTCTCATGTCCAGCTCGACGAACTTCCACAGCTTGGCTTCGCCTTTCTGCTTGTAGTACTGGCCGATTTGCATGGCTGTTCGCTTGAGGCAGATCTTGGCCGCATCCATGGTGTCCTGCGGCCATTAAATGCATGTGTATTTGAAACCCACTATAATGGCACCCCCTGCAGTCCCTCATGAAAGCTTACCAAACTGAACACAGACTGCAGTCCTCCAGCTGCATTGGCAAAACTGCTTCTTCAGCTTCTTTGGGTGCTGCACTGGAGCTGCTGGCGGAACCCGCGTGCAACTTTTGCATCTCCGTGCCGAAGGTTTGGGCAATCTCTGCAAGACTGTCATAGTGGTGCGTCTCATGGCCCTCGTCCTGCCTCTTCGTCAGGTACAAAATGGTTCTGATCATGGCCCGCGCTTGGCAGGACAGCCCAAGTTGGTTTCATGGTCACCTTGGGCTTCAGCACTGCTTCTCCGCTTGGAGCACCTCAGAGCGCTGGCTCGGATGGCGGAGCTTCTCCACGTCCGACTTGGAGATGGACCGCCCAATGTTGTCCTTGGAGTGGAGAGAGGCCAAGTTGGCGGCGAAGCTGGCCGCTCGAAGCCACGGGAACATGGAGGATGGCTCCTTGAAATCCAGCTGGCTTACACACTCTGTGAACTCCTGGCCGAGGCTGAGAGACGTCTGGAAGGATCGACCTGCAAAAGTTAATCCTAAGCCCATCATGCACCTATACCGTATCTAGAAAACACATGTTTACCAAAAACAACAAACTTATGCAAAAACAAGTGGCTCACATGGGCCAAGATCTTCACGATTGGAAAGCTTGGCCCCCCAGAATAGTTCTGGACAAAGTTGCTCACCGAGCTCATGTATGGCAGACATGGTGGTTGAGTGGTCATGGCCAGCTGCACCGCTTGGAGCAAGGATTTCGTGGCCTCGAAGTGGGAAGCGATGTGGAACATCGCTTCGACCTCATTTCCGGAGCTTTGGGTGATGTGGGAGGAATTCAAAGCTTGCTGGATGAGCAATGGGAGGTCTGTCCCATTTCCATCCCTACGAAATCATCCGGGAAAACACGGAATCTGAACCATGGTCCTGGGTGCAAGCATCGAGGCTCAGCACCCCTTGGCAAAGCTTGGACAGCTCTGAGTGGCTGGTCTTGGCGTTGTTCTCGACGGCCTTGCAAAACTGGGTCAAGTGGGAGCTGCCCAGGCTCAGGTACCTTTCCTGCCCTGTAGGTCTGGCTAGCTGGCCTCCGCTGGCCTCGCAGAGCTCCACATTGGCCTTGATCTGGCTGGCGCTTGTCTGCATCGGTGGCCAACTCGATCTGGGCCTGTGGCAAGGATGGCGTGGCCCTTGTGGTGGCAGTCATGCCATGAAAACATGGCGCATGGAGCTGGGAACCACCTGCAGCTGGTACAAGAGCCCTGCTTGCATCAAGTGGTTGCAGATCTGCAACCATTTCGTATTTATGGGGATCTGGACATCCTTCTTTATCTGGGTGATGGCCTGCTGCACCTCCGTGGTCATGGGCATGGTGAGCCCTGGCACAAAAAGATCCCTGTGGATCTTGGCTGCTGCAGCGTGGGCAGTGGTCACGGATGGCCCTCCTTGGGCCTAGCGCCTGCGTGTTTCCGGCAATGGATCATATACTCATAGCATACATACATTGCCAATCTGCGTGGCCAATCAAAGCACCGAGTGCTGGTACATGCAAAGCCGAAAGCACCGAGTGCTGCTATACAAGCGAGCTGCATGCAGGGAGAAAAGCACCGAGTGCTGCTGCAAACATATGCAGGGATCTGTGGAGTGTGTACAATGAAGCACATGCTGCCTGGAAATATTGTCATTTTCGGCAAGCACCCTGTTTAGAAAAAGTGGTGAGCGGTTCACAAAAATATTTCCATAAGATAAGTAAAGCTAGCTTTTGTCTAAGAACAGCTAATCAAGCTAAGGTTGATAACTTTTTAAGATAGTTAGCACACTTAGCATAAAAGTTATCTAACATGTGCAACATAGCCAAGGGCGTGAGGCAAGGGGAAGTCTCCTCTCATAGGCCGACAGCCAACCACCGCATGCACTCCCTGGCTGCGACGTGCAGAGAGGGACAAACCTGGGGCCCTTGCAACGAAGCGCAGCCAGGGTCCTGACCGACGAGCCTGATGCGCCTTCCCTCCTACAGCTCGTAAGAGTCGTACCAGTCAAGCACAATGGCTTGCGGTTTGTTGAGATCAGAGTCAAGGCGGAGGTGCCCGCCTCTCTTGTAGGCCAGCTCCAAATTGCGATTGCTGCCCGCATGTGGAAGGCTTCCATCGTGGACTTCTCCCAGCCAGACGGAACGATTTCGATCCTCAAATGTTTTCGTACCCAGGCGTCTGCAAAGGCACTTTTCTCCTCTTACTTCCGTTAGACGATGCCTCCCTGGGTTTGCAAGCACAGCCGACGCTCCCCCTCCAGTCCGCAGGGCTATTGCATAGGCACGAAAAAAGGCCTTGCCATGCTAAGCTGAGCAGAGACAGCAAGCAAAAGGCCACTAAAGCTTGACCGGCCAGGGATCCAGTCTGAGGGCACTGCAATCTCCGGAAGAAAAGCAGGCAGCAAATCCAACAGCGACTGATGGTCTTCTCTGAGCACGAGTTGACCGTTTTCCCCGGCCTTGTCACCGTTAGCCACCCGGGAAGCACAGATTCCTGCAATGCGGACTGACAACTGCAAGGTCTTCTGCCGCCTTGGTGCAACTTGCCTTCGACTGCCCTTCTACCGGCTCTCTGTGGGCCCCTCCCGCTTTAACAAAGGGGGGGGCTTAAGGGGTGAGCCGATACACCCACAAGGAAATGCTCCTTGTTAGGAGGTGTATGACCAGTTTATTCCCTAAGGATCAAAGGGCAGCGCCCTGCACACGGACAGTAGTTGTTTTGTCTTGCTACGCAAGGAGAGCTTGTCTTGTCTCAATATGGTAAAACCACTGTGAGCCAATGGGCAGCGGAATGTATATGTATGAGCATGCAGCCATTGCTGTAGGTACCTGTTAGAGCTACCCCTTTAGAGGTTTACGCAAACAAACAGACACTAATTTTCTTTTACCGGAAGCATGGCCGCACATTCACACATATACTATTATGCCCACTGTCACAGTTGCGGAGTTTGGACTCATGATAAAAACAGCATATTGTTTATGCTAGGTATAGCACTGAAGTACACTGTTGAAGTCACTCTTGAAATCACTCCTTTTGAACTCTTTCATGCACATTGGTCAGAGAGATCATCTGTACAAGATCAGGTCTGGTGATGTTCTTCTATCGAATTATGCAGCCCTTCACTGTGCTCTTGTTAGAGCTTTGTGAGTCACTGTTGTGAAACTCTGAGAATTTTCTTATCTCAGATTTGGATCCAGGTTTGGATCATAGGCTCGAGCATAGACGTTCGGATGTGGTTCATCCGGGTCTGAGTGATCTTCTTCGGAACTTGAAAAGATTCCGAGTAATCTGTTCTCAGCCCTGGTGAAGGCGGCGTCTGCAGTGTCATATCCATGGTTGGATGTAGTCGCCTTTGGCTCGGCCTTTGGTGCAGCTTGTGAGCTGATTGGAGTTGCCTCGGCTTTAGCCGGTTGTGGCTGCTTAGCCTTTGCCCGTTCGGCCCTTCTTCTTTCAAGCTGTCCGTCTGAGGACGCCCATGATCTTTCACTTTCATCTCCTGAGGGAGATAAGGCGTGGGCATGAAGGCTGTTCCAGTACTGTGCTGCAGAAGGAGTTAGGACTTCTTCATGGTCAGATTCTGACTGGTCTTCCTCAGAGCTTTGGTCGTCAAAAAGTGTCTCAAGGACATTTTTGAGGTTTTTATGTCTTCGCTCTATCTCTAGTGAGGAATGGACCAATTGATTGAAGACTGTTTTTGAGTCCTTCAGTGCTGTTAGAAGGATTTCCACTCTGGATAGAGTATCTTGGATGGTGTCAAGATGATCCTTTCTTTCCTCCTTGTCTCTCTGGATAGAGTTTCGCAATGATTGTGCGATTCTGAGGAGGTCGAGATATTTCTCAATAGGCATAGTTACCGTATGATTGTCATGTATGACAGTTGTTTCGTCGCTGCTCAAGTTCCTGAATAGGACTTCCACGACTGGTAGAAACTCCGTGCTCCACGGTTCCTCTTCATCATATGTTTCTACGTGCTGTTGCACGCGTTGTGTAAACTGCTCGGCTGCTTCTACCGTTGCATCGATAGAGCTGACGTGTCTTACTGCCATGTTTCGGCACATAGTGTTAATGGCCTGGCCTTGATTGGCTTCGCCAAGTGCAGCGTCTGCATGGTTGCAGAGTCCACTGTTATGGGCTTCTCTAGCTGCTTTTCGTTGAATGCGCCGATTTTGACCTCCTCTTCTGGTAGGACCTTTTGGTCTCGGAGGATCTGAAGGTACTGTTCCTTTCGCCTTTGGCGGAGGAGTCTTAGGTGGAGGTGACATGTTTGCCTTGTTAGGCACTGGTGGCATTGCCTTGGGCACTGACGACGATGAGGCACTTGCGAGTGCAGATGTACCTCTGGCTCTTGCCGAGGATCCCTTAGGGATTGATGTATAGGTAATCTGCATGGCTTCTTCGGCCATTTGTGAATGCAATGCATCACTGAATAATTGCCTCATATGAGGAGTAGTACTTGCATCGTCATAGGTTTGAAACCGTTCAATGTCCCTTTCGGTGCCACGTGATCGTGTATCACCTCTTTGAAAAGGATCGTTCCTGCGAATCTCCGCAACTTGTACTGCCTGGAGGCAGGTTTTACACAGCACCTTCCTTGAAACATCTTTTGCTTGCTTGAGCTGGTAACAGCTGTCTGAAAGATGGTAGACTTCGCTTCGGGAAGTGTGCCACACAGGTCGCAAATCCGTTGTTTCTCCAGAATTGACCCTGTTGGGTCCTAAAGGTTCACGCGTCTGTGGTTCATTCTCGGGTTCGAGAAATGGTGGTGGTCGTTTCGCTGCTGCTTTTGCATTTGATTGTTGGCGGTCCATACATCTGATGGGAGCCCTGGTGAGCTGCTTCCACATCCAGTGTAGGCCCATTAGCAGCAGAAACACATTCCACGCGATGCTGAAGACGGAGAAATCTTGCTCACTGGTTAGTGAGTTTGGAAGTGAAGGTTCATCAGTCTTGATAGACTCTGCGTTTGCACCGCCTTGATTACGGTGTCCGAACCAGTTCGATAATCCCGCTGCTGTGGCAGCTGTTCGGAGTGCCTTGCTGCTCGGAGCAGACGGCGGTCGTGATGACTTCCTTCTTCTTCTTCGGCTGGAAGATTCATCCTCCTGTTCCTCTTCATCTCTTTGAGCCGACATCAGGTTTGATGTTTCTCGTTCGTGCTCTTCGATATCACTTTTTGTTGGAGATTGTTCTTCCTCCAGTGTGTCCAGTTCCTCTAAAGACATGTTGAGCTTGTCAACAAGACTGGCTCTCTGAGGTCTGGATCTCGATCTTGGTAGATCTTGTTGTGAAGAGGACGATGATGCCTGGCTCCTTCTTGGAGGAGGGCCTTCAGGCTCGCTGGGACGTTCAGGCTGTGGCCTTTCCCAGAATCTTCCATATCTGTGATAGCTACCTTGTGGTTGCTGTCTGTCGTACCAGCTGTTGCCGGATGAATACACAAATGAGTCTTTGTAATCCCAGTATTCAGCATTACGCTGCTTGTAAGCCTGTCGCTTGTCAGCGATCTTCTGAACCTGGGCATCTGACCGGTTGTGTTTCCCTTTTGTAAGGATTGGTTGTATCGTGAAGCCCAAAGGGCTGTGCCAATCTTTGTCAGAGGGACTCAACCACAGGTCAAGGTTAGAAAAAGTTGAATAGTACTGCTTGACTGAGACAAACAGACGGATATCGATATCCCTGTTTCTGTTCATGTCCTGCCACATATCTGAGACTCGTTCCCAGTATGTTCTTTCGGCGGCAGGTGTAGCATCTCTTGGACTAGGTGACGCCGTGTGCGGCGTTTTACTCCAGTCAAGGATATAACTGTTGATACAGTCGAGGTCAGCAACTTTCTTCGCCGGGTCCGGCGGTAGACGATCTGCACGTGCCAGTCTGTGCTGGTCAGAGTTGTTCAAGCAGAGGTGTCGCACTTGTGAGTGCCTTCCTGCTATTCTGTTGAATGCTGCAAGTTTCTTCTCCAGGTATAGAGAAAACAAACCGTTTCGCGGGTGAACGTCTCCACCTTTTAAGGTGAGCCTCGACGCAATATTATTGAGATCCCCCGCAATTACATCCGGTTTGAAAGGGAGAACCTCGTTGAGGAACGCGTTCACCAGTTCGCGCCTCTGTTCTTCCTTATGAGTCATGTATGAGTTGAAATGGACGATCGCGATGGTGATGACCTTGTAAGGCCCTTTTGTACACCACATCTCGTCAAGATCGTTTGATGCTTCTTGTGAGAAGATCTCTGCGTATGACTCAAAGTCTTCCTCTGGTGGCTCATCACCCTCGACATGGCCGTTCCATTCACAGAGAACCGGCGCAGGGTCGAGGTCCGACATTGTCAGACACGCCTCTGGT